AAATTGAGTTTTTTGAAACTACAAGAGTGGTTCGTTGGCCTCACGCTTAAATACAACTCCTGGTTTATTCATCAGACTTTCGCAATAAGCTCAAAGCAAAATATCAGAGTGTACGAGTATAACCGGACAGATTTGGAATTCAAATATTTCAGAACATATTAAGTATTTTAAACTGTCGTCAATATTTTTCTTTTTACTTCCTACGCCGCTGGCGGGGCTCGGGTCCAGTTATTTTCTTGTTCCAGAAAGTTGGCTAACCCGATTCTCTGTTTGGTTTGATTTCTCAAAGGACCATATAATATAAGCTACTGATATCAGAAATCGATGCCATCTTTGATACATCACGTCACTATATTATCTAATGAAAGTAGCGCCATCTACAGTTGAGTACTCAAATTATGAAACTAGACAATTCTCAAATGGCAGTCAAATATAAGGCACTCGCTAGATGGCGGCACCTACCCTGTTATATAATAAAAGCAATAAAAATAAACAGTCACTGTTGGATTTGAAAATACACCTTAGAGCCGTTTTACACACAAGAGAATTACTCCGAAAATTATGGTCATAATTATGCAGAAAATTTTTGCTGTCTTATTACACGTAAAAGAATTCTTGTGAAAATTTTCATGGTAAAAATATAAAACCCGTTCTATATTATATGCGCGAGAATCGGCGCAGAGGATTATTTCCGTGCATGTCAATATCAAATGTCAACGACAACAACAACAACATAACCTCACTTAACATTTGTGGGAGTGGTCCTGTTCGAGTCGTACGAAGGAGCGTTTATTGTTATTGTTTATTCATAATGTCGTGGAATCGGGAAGAATTTACAATGTTGTTGGAGGAGTACCAAAAATGGCCAAACCTGTACAAGGTGAAGTCACCCAATTACAAAAACAGAAATTTGCGGCGTCAGGCGCTGGATGCGATAGTCCAAGCATTGAGAAGTTTTATAATATTAACCAAGATCTCGATTTCAAAAATAAATTTAAATTATCGACGTCTGTTGTCTTTCCGATTATATTGGACGTCATACCCGTTAAGGTTATGTCCATTTGAAAATATAACTCTAATGCGCAGGCGTATCATATGAATTACTCCGAAATTTTGTTTGCTTGTGTCATACAGGTTGTAGAGAAAATCTTCAATATTTTTTCCATGCAAATTTTCAACATAATTATGACCATAATTTTCGGAGTAATTCTCTTGTGTGTAAAACGGCTCTTAAGCAGTGGAAACTTTCGACTTAGCTTACCTGCCCTATTTAGGTTTCACGACAAAAAAGTGGCAGTTTTGGTTCAGCTTAGCTTCGATTTTACTAACAGGAGATCAAAATTCTTGGCCCAGGTCAAAATGAAAAGGCATCTTCCTTGTAATTTTCGGAAATATATCTCTAACCAATTAGAAAGCGTTTTCGTAAAACTGCATCGAAAATTGGCCAATCGGAGGGAAGCCTCTAATCCCTACCCGAACAAAACTACTCATAAATATCACCTACAACCCAGTGGTCGTCACAAGTACTTAATGCTCAGCATAAGAGGTACAAGATTTCGTTGGTACAAAATTTTATTTTTCGTTGATCCTGTTTTTAAGGCTATCAAAAATTACTCATTAATTAACATAATAGGTCTGAAAGAGCTGTATTTGCCACTAAAAAAATATCTGGTTTGAGCGTAGGTCCAGCATTTCGATCGATACCGTTACCAATAATGACTGGACTATCACAGAGTTCGACGAAAACCAACAAGCAACAAATTTCGTTCAACTTCAAGTAAGATGCCGAGTCAGGCTACTTGACCCTAATTTAATTGAGTAGTTAATGTAAAAATAAACGAAATTGCCCAAACAAATCATAGGAGCGACGCTGAATCGGAATGGTTTTTTGGAGCTTGATATCTCGGTAATCTCAAGTGTTTCGTATATGTGTTACCAGAGAAAAATAATTATTGTCTGATCGAAAGACTATCATTTGCTTGATTAGCATTACTAAATGCTTTAAATTATCATTAATGAGAAAAGCTTTTTTCAGAGTATGTCTTTGTCTATAAATATCACAAAAATGAGAAAACACGCAGATAAATAATTAGCATTTATATATTTGTTGTCCTTGCATGATCTTAAAAGGTCATAATCAGATTTAGACCAATTAAATCAGTTGCACCCTATATGGAGATCATTAGTTAAGACTAGGCAGTTAGCGGTTTTTAACAAACTGCCACCATTTTCTCATGTACCAGTTAATTATTGTATCTCGAAATGTATTCATTCCAATTATTCCGACGCATCCAATATAGTCTAAATAGCGTCATACAGGATGTTTTCGAAATATGGGACAACTGTTCTAAAGATCGTGCAGAGAAAACTGTTCTGCAGAGACAAAAATAGCAGTCCGTTAAGTATATCATGAGTCCATTGTTTTTGAAAAAAAAAAAATCTCAATTGGCACACACACAACTTACGATAACTATTTTTGAGGTGAAGATTGAAACCCTGTATTCTAGTTCGAGGTAGTCATATTGAACATCGTTTGTAGACTAGGAAGCTTCACATATCAAGGTAAAACTGTTGTCCGCCCAGTATATTTGAAACGAATCGTAAAACCACAAAATAATCACTAGGATCAAATCTTAAACTTATCCCTGATATTTTAGAAACACCCTGTATATGTAAGCCAATTATTCTTACATTTCCAATGTGGTAGCAAATGACGTTATATCGCTCGTCGGCAACTGGATGAATTTATGATGTTTAACTTGAATCCGATTGGTTAATTAATTAAAATTTAACGAAACTTAATATAAATTAACTTTGATTATGTTGATCATCTAATTGAAGATTCAAGACTGTCCAGATAAGGACGTCGCTGATGCACCGACAAAGGATGTGCTTGTTTTTCGATGTTATGATTATTTGCTAGGCATAAACGAAACGTAAAATATGGGAATGTTTTAAGATCATCCGTTTTTCTTTTTAATTTCGGGTTATACTCAACCGTACTAGTAGGGCGTTACCTTGAGGCTTCGGGTATGTTCCGGTGCATAAGGTCCCATCTAATTTCTTTATTCGCTCATCCATTCGACGTATATTACTTGAAAATAGTTTCTAATAATATTTATACGGTGTCGTAACTTTCATCGAGCCAGTATAAAGTAAAATATCGATTTCGACGCCCATCATCAAGCACCGCTTCGAAATAAAAACCCCCTCCTATTCTGCGGTGCACGGCCAATAATTGCCCATGGCTAATTCGCTAGCACAAAAGGGCCCCCGTAGGTGGCTTCTACAGGGCAGACATGCTGAGACGTGCAAAAACGTCCGCGTCCCACCGTTTTATTCCGCCTTTTATGGACTATTCGATACGGCTTAACGCGATAATGACCCCCACTATACGTTATTAATCTTTTTATCGAGCTACTGAAACATGCGTTATCATATAGGGTCGGTCAGTACGATATTCAAGGATTGGGAGTTACCCTTCGCACCTACTTTATATATTCAGAATCTAATTTATGCTCTCTGCTACGGCAACATCGTAAACCCCCATTTTATTGTCGATGTTTAAGGCAACACCGCATGGATGTCACTTTTACTTTATTGCTCTATGATTTTTGTGTTCTGAGACGAGATGTCAATTATAATAATAACAAAACACGTCATAACCACAAATTATGTTTTGTGGTTATGATGTGTGGCGTTTGATTTTGTGGAATTTGAAAAATAGATCCTGTAATTTATTTCATTCCGTTTCGACCAGCCCCTCCAAAACAAAGTGCGGTATTAGGCAATTTGCTGATTTCCATTAACTCTTAGCGAATACTTTTGGAAATATCGCACGTTAGGTCAGCCGTGGCATGCTTGATTCCGCCGTTGCCTTCTACCATTCCGTTCTTAATTTTGCGTGGGAAGTAAAAAATCCCGGTTAGCCTCTGTTGCGGCCGCCAATGCGTGGCACATAATGTAATTGATGAATCGCCGTGATTAATAGCATCAAGTTGGCTGCGATTCCCTTCCCCTCGATCTCCTCCCCCCTCCACTGCTGCAGAGAAACAAAAACTCCACCGCGCGGTCTACTGCCGCTTCATTAGATTTATTACTTTTTTCATTTTTATACTTTATTAAGTCCATCGGCGAGTATCCAATTTATGTAGCTGGAAACAATGAATTATAAATTACCGGCTACTTTATACACACACACATCAACGCGGAGAAAGGGGGGGGGGTTATGGAGAGCATTGAGTTGAACAGAGGCGTAGAAGAGGTAATAACGTTTTTATTGAAAGTCAAAAAAAGACATAGGACACATAAAATGCAACACCCACGATAATTTATTGAATTTTGGTAAAAACTTGTTGAAGGCATTCAGAGCCGTACTTTGTAGGCAAAATCGTTCTGCCAACCAAATTTTTCAAAATTTCCGAATCTTAGATTTTTTAAAAATATGGTTTTTTTAAATTTTCGATTTTCAAAATTGTCAATTTGAATTGAAAATTTCAAAAATTGAAAAGTTTTTTATAATTTCGGAAATTGAAAATTATGTTAATCATAAATTTTTAATAAGCGACAATTTTTAAAATCTTTCAAATTCTAAAAATTTGCATTATTTACATCATCCAGAAAATTTTGAAAATTGAAAATCTGTTACAAGCATCTGTTAAATTCAAATGTTAAATCATCACCTGACGGTGACTTACTATTCGTTTGAAATCTGGGATTTAATCAACCCTCAATTTTAAAAATTTTCGATTTTTAAAATTGACAAGTTGTTTTGAAAATTTTGATGATCTTGAAAATCGAACATTTTGAGGATTGTACATTCAAAAAGTGATCATTTTTAAAATATTTTAAATTTAAAAAGCATTGATCCAGTTTTGAGAATCTTGAAAAATGCGAAAATTTTTAAAATCTGTGAACGCAAATGATGCTAAATCACACATTAAGAACCAAGAAAACGCCGCTGCGTTGTAGTATTGATATCTCTGAACAAAAACGCAAAATAAAATTTCCGAAAAATCGTTTTTATTAAAACCATGTAAATTAATAAATAAAATATGTATATTTATAGTGTAACCTACTAATTTATTTTAGATATCTAGTTTTTTCTTCCTTTTCTTCTTGAAAGGCAACCCGCTGGAAAATTCTGACGTGGAGAGACTGACGCTCTTGACTTTCTTCTTCTGTGGTTGTCGTTGCTTCTTTTCTTCATCCCTAGACAAAATAAAAGGATCTTTATACAGACCCTGCAGCTAGAATCCTTCATCAAGTTGAACAAGTTTTATCTAAATATTTTGAAGACCCTACTACTACAGACTTATACAGGGTGTCCCAATATTTCGTAGACAAAGAACAACCACGTATTTTTAGACTCAAAATAGTTCGAATCTGAGCTTCTTGACCTTTGAAAATCCATATACCATCAAATTTCTCGTTCACGTAATTTTTTACAGCTCGCGCACTATTATGCATAAAATCATGTTTCTTCTTACATACAACATTCCTTATTATTAGATTGATGTGATGAGACAATTCTTTAGATGCCAGCTCCGAAAACATCTTTTTCTCGGAAACTGTATATATAATAATAATAATATATATATATATATATATATATATATATAATTTATGAAGGTAGTTTTTACCGTTCTCGAACCATTTCGGGTTCACCCTGTATACGTGTAAATAGACCGATAACGTCCATTTTTCAACAGAAGCGACATTTAATTTTCTCGGAACAGGTGCACGTCAGCTCATCCTGATCGCACCTTTTGTATTCGTATAATCAACCGTCAACTAGCCGTGCATTGTGTTCGAAAAGCGTTCATTACATCATCGAGAACGTGCAAACGCACTTTCGATACGCCCTATTATAAATTTGTTAAATCACCATAAAATAAATATAACAACGCGAGAGCCGAGAAAAAGTTGTGAGCCAAGCCGTGTACCATCACTACAAAAGTAACGGTTTAACGTTATTTTTAATTGCCGTCGCATCCCGATATCATCATTTTTACCCTATTTTGAGAACGTTTGAACTGGCCACCACCTTTACGCGACACTCTTGTCAGATTTCGGATTGATGCTGCAGGTTTTTGAATTTCAAGGTTGAGTCATTTATTTTAACAGTCTGTAGATTGATAGACCAAAAATCACCTATAGAACTGGTAATAAGAGAGTTATTTTACATTATTAAAAATAAATCATTCTCAAGTTAAAAGTATCCCGTTTTCACAGAAACTGATCAAAATTGTTCCCATTTTATTTTTTTATTATTTCAACACCCATGCTTATATGAACTTTTTATGTTATTTTTTGCCTATTGCATCTCCTAGAAATATGCGACTTTTAATCGACCACCTTCTTTATGCGCCAGCGTTGCCGCTTCTCGGGGCTGCCGCCGCAGATTTAAGGACGTTGAAAAGTTCTGAGAATGCGAAATATTAAAAATACACACAAGGCTAACGACTGATGTTTCCTGGAGAGACGATGTCATGTTTAAGAGTAAAAATTTTTTTAAACGAACATTCCACGACCCTACTTTGGATCGGGCATTTCCTTGGAGAATACGGTATATTTTTTCGAAATACTAATAAACTAATTTCTGGCAAAAATGCTAACTTACTCGTGCGTGGCTAGCTTCCTGTTGAGTTTCTGCGGTTCCGTTTTGGCGACTTGACCCCGAACTATTTTCGCTACGTGCGTTGGAGTCTCTTTGAGACCGAAACTGGTCACGTAGTGGCCCAGATTCACCTGTTTGAAGTCGAAGATCTTTCTGAGCTTGCTCGAGAACGTGTTGTAGAACCTGGACCACGAGCAATAAGCTGGAACGAACGAGATTCGATAAATAACCAGTCTAAATAACCAGTTACGTGAGAAAAAGCTTCATCCCTTGTTGGGTACTTTGACGAATTGGTGCAAAGTGTACTGTTATAACTTTATTTTCTAGCTTCCTTTGTCAACATCATAAGCAGCTACAAAACATTTGAAAAATAGCAACTACATGTTGCAGCTCCTGATGATCACGACAAAGTTCATCGAAAGCTAGAGAATAAAGTACACTTTGCCCGAACTTGTCGAAGAACCCAACAAAGTTGAAGCTTTTTATCACCTAACTTATTATTTATATAATATAATGAATAATTTACTTTATTTTAAATAGATTTTTAACCAGAATTGCCGTATTTAATCTTCGCAGACTGTACGTACCTAGATTGACCAACTCAAGGGGTTCCGTATTCGATTTTCTGTACTTAATATTTAATACGTACAAACTATTAATGTACAGTCAGTTAATGATCCCTTAAGGGGGCGAGTGCGCAACCCTATCTCGATGTCACCTCGGGCGGCAAATCCGAAATCAATCATTTGTGCATGTGTCCGGCGCTGGTGAAATTAATCACTTTCGCGCCGTAACACAGGAAAGCACTCGAACTACTTGCCGGCGATCCAAGTCATTTGAGCCACTAGCCCGTCAGAGGGCGCTTTTATGAGACTTAAACTCCGCGTTTTGTATGGCTTTTCGAGGCGCTTCTTGCCACAAAGGACTCGTTTAAGGGTTTTGAAAGATTTATCGTTTATTGCAATTTAAAGAATAAGATCAATTACTGACGGGGATCCCAACCAATGTCCCCTGAGATCAGATTATGATCAACATTCGGAAACATTAATCAAAATTGAAATTAAATCAGAATAAGAGTGGGATTTTGTCTAAAATTAATGTTTTGATATTATTTGAGCAAGGATATCAATCCTGATAAATTACAGTTTACAATATGGCGAATTTCCAACAAAACTGAAGTGTTTTATCATAAGTACTGTCAAGCTCAAAAAATATTTCCGTGGGTGTACCACAAGGTAGTAAACTAGGTCCACTACTAATTATTTTACACGTTAATGACACTTGTAATATTTTAGATTATTGTAAAATTCAGATATGTGCAGATGATACATTAATATACATATCAGTTGAAAATATAGAAAAATGCTAAATTCTGACTTGGCAAAAATCATAAATCGGTTAAAAGTAAATGAACTAAAATTGAATGCTTCTAAATAAAATGTATGCTAATAGGGATATACCTAAATGAAAATACCATCATTGTTAGGATAAATGGTGAAATAATTGGTAATGAAAATTAAAGGAACAATGAAAATTCAAAGAGCTGCAACTTTTGTTGTTATGAATATTTGTATGTAACGGATGTAGTTTTTTAAAATAATGGAATTGTAGATAGATCTTAAAGAAGCAAACAAAAGGCGCATATCTTCGATCTAACTACTTTCTTCTATTATTATCCCTACAGACAACATCGTTTTGAAAAAAAAATGTCAAAATTTTACAAAATTTTATGTTATAAAAATGTTACGATTTTAAAAATTTTCGATTTTTCGAGATTCTACATTTTAAGAATTGTCAATTTGAATTGAAAATTTCGATGATTTTAAGAATCGAAAATCATGAAAATTGTAAATTTGAATAAGTGAAATTTTTGAAGATCTTTGTTGGGACTCTGAAGATCTTGTAAATCCACAATTTTGAGAACTTAGAAAATTTTTAAACTCTTGAAAAATCTGTAAAATGAAAATGCTAAATCATGACTTGCGTATAACTTACAATTCGTTTTAAAAGAACAAAATTTTGAGTACATTGAAAATTTAGAAAATACTGAAAATTGAACTCTTGAAAATCTTGAATGTAATTAAAAGATTTTTAAAAGAAAACTAAAGGAATATTTCATGTAATTGTAGCAATCATGCTAAACAAACAAAATAAAATGAGCGGCTTCTAGAGTTACAGAGTTTTTAGATTCTACAGGAATAAAAGAACAAGAGAGATTTTGTTACAAAGATATGTAGAAATTCCGTTTCATTTTTCATGTCGTTAATGAGGAACCATATATTTCTAAGAAAATGACTTTGATCACTTGATGATGTACATACCAACACAGGCCATCTTATGCAAGTCCTTGCTATTGGAAATTGCGTTTTCATAATGTTTTTGTAAAGCAATCGCGGCCTTTTGGGTGTCTTCCTCTTCCATAACGACGCTTAACTCTGTTAGATGAGAGTCTGCATCTTCTTGCTTTAAACTGAAAAAAATATATTATAACGTCGTTATCAGTTTAAATTCAGCGCAATTTCAATCTTTGGAGAGAAAAGTCAGTTACGAACATGTACAACAAGGAAAATAAACGGATCAAGTCAGGCATATACAATTATTGTTTCCTTGAAATGAAACGTCTAAAACCGAAGTTTAAGCGCTTTTTATTTTGTTCGTTTTTTTATTTTTCTCCGCCGTCGCTGGACCGATTTTCAAAAACTACAAAGCGTTTTCAGCCTTAACATAGTAATACCATTATGTGAAAATTTTATTGAAATCCGAGCGGTACTTTTCAAGTTACAGGCGGTTATAAAATTAGACACCCTCGTGGAACGAGAAAGTTCCATTACAAGACAAATCAATCTGTGGCCGGTGATTATGAAGTAAATACATTTTCGGCACGAGTTTATCTAGAAAAAACTCACTAGACTTTGTGCTCCTCCATCATGGCGACGAAATCCTGTTCTTCGTGCGTGAGGAAAATGTACGAGAATCCGGACTTTCCTGCTCTGCCGGTTCTGCCGACTCTGTGCAGATAATCTTCGATCTTCAGCGGGCCGTTGTACTGAACGATGCAGTCCGCTGTTGGGACGTCTATGCCTCTAGCAACCACATCCTGAAACAAAATTTATATGTGAAATTGAGCCGTTTGCAGGTAAACCCTATAAAAACATGTTATTAGAATTATCGTAGATCACATCTACTATATCGCCAGGATCGTCAGCCTCTAGCGGTCACGGCAGTGGATTATTTACACTCTCCCAGTGGTTGATTCGGTCCTTAAGTCACCAAGTAAGTGGCTTTTAAATTATACTGACATTGAAGCGTTTGTTATGTTCTTTATGTAGTACCCTCATAACAAATTTGATACTTGAACGTCGCTTTCTTTGACATTTGACAACTCTGAAAACGAATATTTCTGGTCCGTCGTAATGTTAGTCAATTTCCAATCGGACTTCAGATGATTAATTTTTTTGATGCAGCAGCAGGCCACTGTTTCGTAATAAAGAATCGTCGAGGTTCGGATGGTGTTCAGCCCGAGAGCTTTTGTTGTCAGTCGGCGTCGGCGGCATCTTATTTCATCTTCTTTCTTCATCATAATCACGTGTCATTTGTACGGATGGAACGGCAGCGCAAGCAATTAGACAAACATCTTATCCAATTGTGTTCGATGATGGCCCGGCACTTTATTGGGTAAATGCCGGGCATTCGATGTCAGTAGCGTCCAATTACACCTGAACTTACTATGAAACTGATTTATTTGAGGCCGATTTTTGATGTGTTTTTTTTGTTTTAAGTCTCTGGTCAATTTAGTATAGAATCAAAAATACCTTAGGGCCGTATCGTCAGCCGTTCCTACAATTCCGTGTTCCGTGTCAGCGTTCTACTTTGAGGTTATGTTACAAATATCCATTTGCATTAGATTATTCAAAATTTTGATTTACATCATCTGTTATACAGTTTCAAATAAAAAATTCCTTGCGCCTGAAACTTTTCAAGTTTCTAGTCCATATCAATCAATTTATTCAAAGTGCATAACTGATATGAATAAATATTATGATTAATTTGGAATCAGTTTTTGACGCTTTGCTTTGCCTCCGCCATTGGCGGTCAAGACCGCTTGAACGCTAGGCATTCAAATGTTTTTTACTCGCCCACAGCCCACTAAATTACACGTTTCTCTCGGCATTGTGCTATTAAATTCATCATTAAAATATTTCGATGTATTAATATCACACCTGCGGCTGGTCGCAGTTGCTGGATCTGTCGAAAGCGGTTACCAGTTGAAATTATTGTTCATCTAACAGTTAGACAAAAACAGACGTGCAGGCAATTATTATTTTTAAATAGCGACGTAACGACTGAAAGCAGAGGCTAGATAGATAGGTGAATGCCAAAGAATAGTTTTATAGGGTGTGGATCAAATTCTTGCAGACTGCTTCATGTTAGCCTTCCTCATATGCTCCCAAATCATTCAATGCCATCGATATGTCCAGCGGAATAATTGATCTGCAGTGGCAATTTGATAGCGACTGACCAGCAGACGGCACGTTGCGACTTAACCGTCGGGTTCTGATCGCCGTCAAAATGGGCGAATTAAGCGCGATGACATTACACATTCTGAGTCGGGCACTTTTCGGCTTGATCGGATCTCCGGTTAATTTAGAAGGTGACGATTACTCTTATTGGATCTCTTAAACGGCTCTCGATTGACAAAAGAACGCCGGAGACACCGCGCCGACGACTTTACGCGCCGGACGCTGTTGCCACATCTAATACGTTCTCGCATACTTACGGAAACATCCGTCTTTCAACGACTCTTTGGGGATTTCATAATCTGATCTCATTAATTGATAAAAGATACTGAAAAACACCACATATAGTTTTACCTAGATTTCATGCGCACGTTTTTGAAGCTGATACACTAAGAGCCGAATTAGAAAAAGACCTTCATCCATCTATTTAATGTTTTACTGTTATGTTGTCCCTAGTTCTTAGTTTTTATTGACCTTTCGTATATGTATAGAGAAAAAAATGAATTTGTAAAGGGGATTTCTAAATTAACTTTTATTTTCGGCTATTGTCCCATAGATGGCGCTAGGGTATTTCAGATCCCTTCTCGGGTGCCATAATACAGTAAAGCGTTGGCGACAGCCAAATCTTCAGCTAGAATATGAAAAATAAAAGGTTAAGGAGCAAACTATATGATCGTAAAATACTCTTGGGTATTTTGAGTTGAAAAAATTATGCTACTCACAAAAAAGCTGTGCCTTGAATCAGATCTTGCGCCAAACAGAAAACTTTCAACCAATTTATGTCATTCCTAAGATGATTGTTTCTCACTCACTGTGCACAGCAGGATCCCCTTCTTGACCTCCCTGAACCCCTTGAAAACCTCCTTCCTCGCGCTATGCTCCATAGACCCGTGCAACTTGAAAAACTCCACGTCCAATATTTCTTCTTCGTCATCACTTTCGTCTTCCATCCCTTCCAAAACCAACACATCGCCGCTCTTCATCTTGCCCCTGTTTACGGGCATTTTCGCCAGGAAATTCGTGAAGAGTTCGTAGTGAAAATCGACCATCGCGCTCGTTCCCATAAAGACGAACATTTTCGAACACTTTTTCGTCAGAGACAACAACATGGCGGACAATGTGAACAGCCTATGTTTCACATGGGTTATCACAAATTTCTGTTGTACTGTATTTGGAATGATCATAACATCGTGACTAAAATTGGACGTGAACTCATCCGAGGCATCGATGTAAGTGTGTCCTTTCATCGTAAAATCCGCCAGCTCTGCTATGCCTTTAGTTAGGGTAGCAGATAGGAGAATCGTCTGTCGTTTTTTACTTTTCGGGTCTCTCAATGGCTGCGTTTCTGTGCTTGCAATTTCTGTTTCATCTTCAATGTTTTCTGTTTCTTCACCGAACTTTTTGTGACTCGATTTCAACAGGTTCATAGGGTTGTAGCTTGTGTGTTTGCTGTCTATCTCTTGCACAATCCTGCAACGAAAAGTGTTCTAATCGAACCTAGACAGAAATGAGAAAACTTAGCTAACCTCATGATATCTTTTTTGAAGCCCATATCGAGCAGTTGGTCAGCTTCATCGAGGACTAAACAACGTACGTTGTCAGTTTTAAACGCGTTTGTGTGCAGCATATGGTCTAGCAACCGACCAGGCGTCGCTATCAAAATATGCACACCCTTCCTCAATCTGTTCTTCTCCGTGTTTCTGTTCTCGCCGCCACACAGATGACCCACAACTATCCACTGGAAAGTCTGGAAGAGAACATAGACAATGTGACAAGTTTCTATACAAATTGATCTAAGCAGATCCTTACAGGTCTTTGAAGAATACCACTGGAATTCTGGGTCAAAAAGGATTTCATTATATATGACTTACATTGATTTTTCCAAAAAGTTCATGAGTTTGCATAGCCAGCTCCCTAGTCGGCACAATGATTATTGCTTGCACCCCATCACTTCTCTGTAATCTTGGTGTGATGCTTTGTAAGGCATCCAGTATTGGCACTGCGTAGGCCAAAGTTTTGCCTGACCCTGTTTGCGAACGAATCTAAAAGAAATGACTTATAGTGGAAGATCCAAATTAGAAACGTCTGCTTGAAGCTTCTTGTATCAAATTTAGTATGTTGAAAGATATATCGCCAGTAGGTTGGCTGAAAAATCCCAAATGAAATTTGAATAAAAATGATTTTCTTCATCTCTAGGAATTTTCCAATTACCGTTTTCTTAGATACCTAAATGTGCAACGTTTGATTGATTTTATATAACATCTGACCATGTCTGTGACCCTAATGGTAAAGTCGTTGGTATAGTAAACTTTTTGTACTTAAAGTTCTTTTCTTCTCGAAACGCTAACTTCAATGAACAGTTTTTGAAAGTTTCATTACAAACAATCAAGAAATCTCTTGGCCTGCTCGCTCCCCGGATTTAACGCCTTGCGATTTTTGTTTGTGGGGCTATTTGAAAGAGTTAGTGTATCATGATGGAGCAGTAAATACTCTGGAAGAACTTCAACAGCGCACTGAAAATGCTTGTGATTTAATTCGTGGACAGTTTTTGTAAAAATTGTATCCATTATGGTTTGTTTTAAATTTAGGTGTATCAACTTCTACAAGCTGTTAAAATAAATGACTCAACTTTGAAAACACCTTACACTGTATATGATAAAAAAAAAGCTGGAGTGACTTACCAAAACATTATCTCCCTTTAGAACAACTGGTATAGATTTCTCTTGGACATTAGTCAGCGTTGTGAATCCAATTTTAGCCAAATTTGACATAATATATTTGTGAATTTCCAAATCACCGAATTTCTGACTATCACTGAACACCTGCTCGACAACGGATTTTCCTCTGGGGTTGGTTTTCACACGAACATTTTTGTGAAAAACGTTGAATAGAGAATGTGATTCATTTTTCTTTGAAGTGATCTGCTCCGGTTCAGCTGTATTCAATTTTGCTGCCTGTTTGTCCTTTTTCTGTTTGCGTTTTATCAATGTCTGAGAAACATTTTCATTCAAATTCGAATCTATAAAAGTTTTCTTGCTCTCAGTTCCACTAGGTTTCATACCAAAAGACTTCTTAGCACCTTTTGTATTCTCACTTTCCGCCGTTTTGATTTCTTTTCTAACTAAATTGATTTTACCTGGAATATGTTTCTCAGTTTCAAATTTATCTTTATTCGATTTTGTCTTGTTCCCTAAACCTTGTTTTCCACTTTTAGCATCACTAAGTTTGAAGGATTTTTTTGGTGTACCATCATCCAAACTTTCTGTCTTTTTCCTTTTCCTTACAAATGCTTTGCCTGTGGCAGGTTTACTACCCCAAGTAACATCAAAGGATGTCATATCTCCCAACAAATTTTCAGCAACTACACCTGCAACATTGAAACAAATCATATTCCTAGTTCCTCATTACTTTACAGATAAAATATGCAAATATCTGCTAAACTTTCACTTATTTAGGAATTGTCTTGTGCAGAGAGTAAAATATACATCCATTTTTCAGCATGTAAGCATTGTAATGCTTCACGAGAAGCATTAAACCTTCTATAGAGTTAGGATACATCGCAATGAAAGTTTTACATACTTTTACAGACAAATGACGCAATTACTCCACTATTATACTTTATATCGTCTAAACAATGCATAAAAATCTTTTTACAACACCCCATCAGCAGAAAATATGCCCAAAAAGCCAACTTTCAGTTGTATAGCTTAGAATAATGTTTTATACCTCTCGTTTCGTTGGAGCACAAACTAAAATATATTATGAAACATGCAAATACTTACGAAGACTCTTTTCAGAGATTTACACAACTGTCACTAAGCTTTTCACCGAGGAAATTGGAGGAAAAACAAACATGTTTTCATTCCTAGATAACCTCACAAATAAGTGGGGTTAGGATTCTGAAGCGTGCATGTCAAATTCGCGTCCCGTTTGTCCGAAAACGCGATGCCGTTAGTTCGAATTCCGCTTGCATAAGTTCGAATTTAGGTTTCCGGCGGGGCAATGGCGTAGGTTAGGTGTTTTTAAAGGGCAATCAGTAGAAAAAAATAAATATGTAGTATGTCACATTTATAAAATGCAACACGCACAATTATTTATTGAATTTTGATAAAAACTTGTAAATATATATACGCTGATGAAATGTTGAAGGCATTCCAAGCCGTACTTTTTTTGTCGAGTCAGGATCCGAACAATATGAACATGTTTACTTCATATTCAGTGATTTTTCTGTTTTGGTTCCATTGTTGTTTCATTGCAGTATCATGCTTGGAGTACGCAGACGCGCGAATTTTAAGCTTCCGAGTTTGACAGGAGTCGCATAATCGGATTGTTGTGTTGCATTTGCTGTGTCATTTAGTATATTTATCATCAGACCAGGTTCTGATACTGAGAGTTAAAAAAATCGTTTATGTAAAAGACAGTATATCGGAAGATCGTTCAAAAAATGTTTAACAATTAGGCACTTCGGTATTTTTACACTTTTTAGATATTTTTTAGAATGTTGTATATAGAATCATGGAAAGGAAGGCGTCAATGGACTTAAAAGTTTTCACATAGTTTAGATGCTTTAGAGTGTCAAATTTAAGACACTTGAGTAATTTGGAGCGCTCGGGGTTGGATCAAATTTCCACATAGAGTTTCTACAAGAAAGAAAAAGCTTTCCGGTCTTTGAATATCGGTCTGGTGGTGACGGAGAAAATGGCCGAAAAGAAAAAAAAAAGAAAAATCGCTCAAACTTCATTTTCATTTTTGTATGTGTTAAAAATTGGGGCTATTAACAATTATGGCCCTTCAGAATGTTCATACCTTTCAGATATATTTTAAAAATGATACAGAATCATAAAATGTAGGGTGTCAATGGACTGAAAGTTAGTTTTCGACATATAGATTCTTTAGAGTTTCAAGCCGAATAAATTTGATCAGTGAGTGATTTGGAACGCGGGTATTACGTATCTTCAAAAGTGATTTCTGTCTGTTTTTTGACATTTTATAGTTTTTTTGTGACACAACGTAGGTTTTTCTACAAAATCTCAACTTAGCCGTAGCAGTTGTACACTCGTTGCTCACCGAAATAAACTAAAAACTACATTGCTGTCGCCTTGTATCCTCCCAACATCGTCACCGAATGACGCCGACGGCGATTTAACTCCGCAAATAGCCGAAAATGCCCCATTTTAGAATAATTTATAGCCAACGTTCAACGATCCATACATTAAATCATAGGAATCCCCCTGAAAAGTCCACATTGACCCGCTAACAGCGACGCCGGCAAAAAGTTCTCGTGTACGTATTTTCCATTTGGAGAGAGTCCAATTTTTCAACTAGCGACCGTTTCCATTATTCAAAAGTGAATGTATATATATGCGAATCGAAAGGTTATAAATCCGCTAGAAAATACTGCCGCAGACCGCAGAGTAAGTCGACTCGCGTCATTGGGATTTATTGCCGTCGATTTGCCACAATAAAACTCCCGAATAACTCACAACTTCCTCCCTCATCTCGTCTTTAATTCGATTTTTACGTTTTAAACAGTCCTGTACACAATAGTCTGTAGGAATACATGGTTGGACTGTAGCCGTTAGGTCTCCTTTCGCCAGGAGTCAGCAAAAATATCTAGTCGTAACTTTCCGAAAAAATGTCGTACCAAATACCAAGCACACAGTTGTATTCGAGTAGTATTCGAATACCAGCCAAATGCAATCTGAATAAGATTTAAAATACCGAGTATTCGAATACTATATCTAACTCTGAAACGCAGGGTAAGCAAGGTAGTTCCCAGTCAGGTGACGGATTCATTCGGGTTTTTGAATAATTCTCTTGTTGATATACCTAGACGTGCGTAGTAACCTTGTTTTCTAAAAGGGGCTGATGTGTTGCATATTTGTTTTCACAGCTATTAGTTATTCCACGTTCTGTAAATATAAATCTAAATAAAATCTTAAACATACATTCTTGAAAGAAAAGCGTGGGAAGACAAGTCAACTTACTTTACGTTTTTTTTTTTAATAGAACGAATATCTCTAAGGGGCCAACTACCTTAGTGGCTTCTCAATTATCTATTCAGTTTCTTATTACCATCAATATACAGCCATTGACGAAGCTTCAAAGCAATGATGGGAAGCATTTAATCAATCAACCTCATTCCATTTCCTTTGGAGATGTGAAGACATTCTTGCGAAAAAATATTTACTTGGAACAGAAACGTCACGAAGACGGCCCTGTGTAGAACAACAATTTGAATATGTTCCATTTGAAAAGGGTTTCGCTTGAGTGTATGGGATGAGTTGGAAGCTGGGAATTGCGGAAGTTGGCGAACTTTTAAAAGTCTGTATGTGTATATAGCGAATATGTTATCTGTGTTGAATATACGTCAAATGGAGAATCGTTAAACTTTCCAGGCATTTATTTACTGTTTGCGTAGACGTAATTCATTTTACCCATATTTTAACAGTTTACATTTCATATTTGATGTCAACGTCAGCTTTAGGCGAGACAGATGTACCCTTATCAGGGGAATATTTATACGTATAGTTATAATAATAATCTTTATTTCCGCAGAAAGTGACATGTAAAATGCAACATCTACACAACTCATAATGCCGTTAGGCGTTTCGGCATATTAACATCAATACAAAGAGTCAAAGTCCGTCCAGCTCGGAAACACAATACGCCGGCATTGTAGCTTTTAAGAGCTTTTTTATATTCGTCGTGTGACGATGATTTTCCCCGGCCGCGATTTATCAGGATTATCGGGAATGATCCGGCCGATGCCGCGATTTTCCAGGCGTTACCGAACGAAGCCGAAAGCACGTGGCAGAGCTTTTCTCCCATTTATGGCTAGGACGCAATGGATTAGCAAAGTTTAGGGGCTTTTAGGATATTATGACCACTAAGTACTGGATTCCAATGACACATTGATTTTTGTGTTTCAAAATAGATTGGAAGCATGTAAATATACTGACGCAACAAACATGGGATACACCTTTTCCACCCTCTTAGACCTCCAAGCGCCAGTTTTAAATCGCTAGAAAAATGTCGTCGAGTAGGTCGACTCTGCACCTCCCGCGCAACGCCGTCATTACTTCATGATCAGCACGAGTTAAACAGTTAGCCACGACCATCAATAACAGGGAAATGAAATAGATCAAGTCAGTCGAACATGCGCATATAATTAGTTCATAGACTTTGTTCACCACAGTCGCAAAAAATATTACTACAACAGGCGATGCAAGATAATCCAGAAAACATGACTTATCGTTTCAATTAATTTGCTTAACTGTATTTATTTCTTAGTTAATTTCTCCAATGGCAGATCAGCAAACGTAGCCATGTTGATTTATTTGATGAAATAATACAATGAATCTTTTGGAATTTTTTTATTAGTCGTTTTTGGCCGGACTGAACGGGCCTCGGATTCGGTTTCAGCTGCCCAAAAAACGACAATTGGACTCACGTTCAGGACCGATACATTTTTAGTAATTTCCCATCCCTTTTCATTCAAACCTCCAACGAACGCGTGGAAAGTATAGAGCGAATCTACCCGTTGCCATTCTTATCACTATTTCACTACCAGTTTTCCCACACCGCCGACCCCACAAACTAAAAACACAGTCTCGCACATCGAGTGCCATCGTCGTCACGCATTCGTACAACAATCTGGAGTGTGCATTCATAATCGCTACAAAAATCAAGAGTGCCACGCGCGCCGAAGTGGAGACGGCTGCACGCTGACACGCGCCCACTAGATCGCATAATCGATACTCGATAGAGTTCCAAAGCACTCTTGACTAGGCTGACTGCTCTTACGCGTAGACGACAAATTGTTAAAATGCACATTTTGAACGGATCGGTTGACCAACGTTGAAGTGGAGCGGCGGTGGATTAGGGTAAAGTTAATAGGTTGAAATGAGGCAATTCAGATTGTTTCTTATTCACACGAGCAAGCTGTAAAGGTGCTTTTAGGTATCGAGAGAACTTCAAAGTGAAATATTTTTCCAGGGAAGAGCAGCAATGCAATGTAGGAATTTAACCGTCATGAATGCAAAGCAATCTTGAAATAAAGCTCAAGCTTTGATTTATTCATCGCCTTAGCAGGCCTCTTAAAAACAAAAACGTCTTTGACGGTTTTCCTCATGTTCAATGTTTCTCCGATATTTTTTTAATCACGTCGCTTCAAACATTGTGGTGAAAACAACCAAGTGTTTTGCACGTACTGTCACGAAAATTCACGCTCATGCTCCCTGATTTAAAAATATCACAACTATAAAAGTCAGACGTACCATCTCTATAAATACTGCCGTCTATGAACACGTTCAAAAAATATCACGTTTCATGATAAGTATTGATGGATTACAATAAATGCAACGTGTAACATCCATCTTAAATTCGCTATGCTTGTATCATTCACCAACAATGGAATGTCTTAGCTCCTTCACCATATTTAAAAGAAATTTTTCGAAGCATTATATCTTCAAATGTTCAACGTAACTTCTTATGCTCTATCGTGATTTTGTCTGGCCAGCTATCAAACAAAGATAACTTTATAAAACAAAGAACTAACTATATTACTTTTGGTATTTCATCTGTATACCTAACAATAACATTAAAATATGCAGAACTTCGGAGACAAACCAAATTTTTTGATTGATACTGGAAAGGACCAGAATAAACTTGAATGTAACTTTTCTGCTTTAATTTTGAATCTAAAGGTTTTTAGACACGACACTCTCGCGTTAGATGTAGTAATTTTACGATCTCATTTTAGATTCT